GGTATTCACTACTGGTGAACGTTCCACCTGGGGACTCAGTTTATTTCATATTGAGGGTCATACAGTCCTCAGTCACTGGAGAATCATCCATCCTGCACACCACATAGCAGTAGAGCTGCAAACTGACATCCTACTAACATCTTTAACTATTGGTGCCTTAAAGAACTGCCTAATTGAGAGACAGGGCAAGATTGGAGCTCGGCTTCTCCACCAAGACATTCCTGAAGTCAATGGTCTCATTTTCTATATTTGGTTGGGAGAAAATTAGTAAGCATTGATGGAAGACCTATTAGAAGACCTATTTAAAACCTTTTGTTCTTTCATTTCTCTAAAACTTTGGAGGTAAAATGTTATCTTCCACCATATTACCAGTGTAGAGCTTAGTAAGTCTTGACTTTACTAAAACAGAACTTTGTGTAGTCCTAAATTGACCTCTTGTGAGATTATTTCTTTTGTGATCATGATATTCCAGTGGTTTGAACTACTGTGAACTCTCTAGCCACCTGTGCATACAATGAGCCACATGGTTACGTATTTTAGGACTGTGTGAGCTTCCAGGGTACCCTCAGTGTCTGCTTTGACAGGGCTAGAGTAGCGTGAGCATCAGGAAGACCTTGAATCCCTGGATACGTGTTGTAAGAGGAAAAATCTTCATCACTGATACCCAAGTGTTAACATGACATCATGTGGCTGCCATCCAAACTACGTAAAACATAGAAGAGATTTGGTAACTAATATTTGAAATCCAGTTTTTTGGCCTGTAGTTTTTGAAACTTTGCTTTGTGAAAAGCAGTGTAATAAATTTGAGGCAATCAAAAGAATTAAAAAATGAGTCTCCACCTACAATCAGTTTATAATCTAGTTAAAATGATGGAAAAAACAAAAACAATCCAGATAATTCTGATACAAAAATGCACTTTTTGCCCAAAGAACTTATGTAACCTGAAGAGCTAATGATCTACCTATAATGTATTAGGAATTTCACTGGAGTGTTGTTAGAAATCAGAAAAACCTGGAAACAGTTTAACCATCTAACATTAAGAGGCCAATTAAATAAACTATGGTAGATCCATACATTGGGGAACTAGCCAGTAATTTAATATTGTAGAATGAGGAAAACCTCTATGCACTTCTGTGAAAAGTATTCCAAGAATGTTTTTTAAGAGAAAGGAACCAGGAACAGAACAGTATGTACAGTATGCCCCCATTTGTAATAAGGGATATATATTCATGGTACGTATATTTGCTTATATATGCGTAAAAAATTTCTGATAGGATACATAATTAACTATTAAAAGTTATTGCCTCTAGTGTGGGTAGCTGGCATCTGAAGAAGTAAGGATACTTCCTTTTCATTGTAGTTTTGTATTTCTGTACTATTTGAATCTTTAACATGATCATAAAACACTTTTTAAAAAGGAAAACATTAAGCAACTATATAATTATAAACATTCCCTTTTATTCTCTGCCAGGCAGAACCAGACAATCTTATTTCCTAAGAGAGTTTGTTTTCTTAATTTTTCCTTCATGTTAGAGAAAAAGTAAAACAGTCCTGAATATTATACTTATATTGCCTCTGGCCTTTTTGGCTTTGGACTTTCAGGCCTTTGAATTGTTATAATGCTTTTTACTCTTTCCTCCTCCTCCTAACACACGAATATTCCACAAAGCATTTAATGACTCCTTAACGAATAAGAAAATCCAAAGCTAGACATTCAATATTTCTACATATAAAGTTTTCTTTACTGAAGTGAATTTGGAAAACAAATTTACAGATGATCAGTTTTATTTAGTCATTCTTACAAATACCATTTCACTGGGCACCATGTGCCAGGAATTGTCCAGGGTCTTGGGGAAATGAAAAAAAAAGAAAAGATCAGTTCCGGAACATTCTAACAAGAAAGACATTCATGTGAACAAAAGCAATTGTATAAATGCAAAAACAGATATGAGAACAAGGCATAGCTATCCCAGAGCATGACTGTGATCAATGAATACCCCATGGCCTTTGGAGAAAACGTGTTTCAGGTAAGCAAACTAATTCAATTCATCCTGCTTTCCAGTTGCCAAACTTTGGCATTAAAGTTCGTCTCTCTCTATGCCCTTTTCAGGTATTGTGGTTAATCAGCCCAAATATGGAATGTCCTGGCCAGTGACTGTGGCAGCTTTGCTCTTTTCCTGCCTTGTATTGTTTGGTCTTGGAGTGAGAAAATTGTGTCAATACCAAAAAGAAATGTGAGTCCAGTACTAAGATATGCAGGAACAGATACTTTTTTCAGTACAAAATATTCACTCAGCACTTTAAATATCATTCCTAGCATTTATCTCGTATTTAACTGAGGAAATAAGGCTCAGAGAAGCTCAGAGAGGCTACCTAGCTTCCCCGGCACCACACAGTTGGGATTAGATGCACAACTTCTGACTTCGTCCCACCTCTCCCTGTTCAGGCTCGAGCACTCACTGGATGGAACAAGTCAGTGGGCATGAAATGAGAACTGAAACTGATTTTTCTCTTAATCTTCACTAGTTTTTTCATTTTCATGCATCTCTGAATTGCCTGGGCCCCGATGGGCCTAGATGCTCAAGTGTGAAATTGAGTGAGAAAGGTAATTTTAAGAAATTTCCAGCTGCTTTTCAGCAGAATGGGCTTTTACTGCCCTTTTCCTTTTTCCCCACAGGGAAAAGCAAGCAAGCAGTGAGTTACCCCTTTTCTGTCTTATTGAAATATTTTCCAAAACTCTTTTCCCTCCACTCATCTTTCTGAAATGACATGGAAGGTTAAGCCTCACTTTTCTGACTCGGCTACTTTGGATCAGTCTGGATTAGGCCATGCCTAGAGGAGACCCTCAGAATACATAGAGCTGATCTTCCACGTATCTTACTACTCCTACTACTATGTATGTATTATACATACATACATCACCCCCTGACATTCTCAGCGTTGAAGGAGCGATGTTTTGTTCCTAGCATGGAAAGACCTCCGCCTTTCAAGCCGCCTCACCTCCCATCAAATACACCTACATTCAAGAGTCCATTGGAGGTGATCTGCCTTGTCATGAGCTGGAGACACTCTAGTCCTCTGAGACTTTGCCACACAAGCGAAACTCTGCTAGAATCCTATCGAAAAGATAGATATCGTGCTTTATTAATATAATCACCCTCTAGCCAAGTCTCTACTGCAGTTGAAATGGATGTCAGAATTGAATGACCTGTTTTCCCAGCAACTCACCCTCTTTCATCTGCACATGCTGGAAATTTAAACAAGAGTGAGAGGCTATGTGAAGCTCACATCTAATGCTATCTGCAGGGATTTTCTTGCTTATGTAAGAAGTGCAAATTAGGCTGCTGTCATTAAAAAATACTTGCAGTGTTTTTATTTTTCACTTTAATTCTTTGAAGGGATGACAAGGGTTTCAAGCTTATGTCCATCCCAGATCCTCTTCTCTTTGGGGCATCTGCTAACATTCTAAGCTATTTGCCAAAATTATGATAATCTCTGAGGTTTGTTGCATTCCCTAGGAAAATTACAACAAGAAGAAAATGCCAAAGTTCTAACGAGAGTTCCAAATAATGGGAAAGTGCAATGAGTCTTTGTCCTGAAATTCAGTTGTTTATTTTCACTGGAGGAAAACAGAATACCTTGCATAAGAACCCCAGTTCCAGTCTTTCTTCAGTCTTCCTCCCGTCATGCTCAGCCCGGACTCCTGCACGTGGGATGAGCAAAAGGATAACCATTTGGTTTTATTTTACTGTCTCATTAGAAGACATAAATATATGTAGAAGTATTGGGTAAAAAGTGGCCGAGTTGGGGGATGTCTAGATTGTTTCGGTAAAGGGATAGACAGTTGTACAGTACAACATACGTCATGTAATTGTTCAGTCTATCATATGGCAGGTGTCTCATGGTGTTTTAGTCTTAGCCATCTCTTTGAAGTGGCCTCTTCTGGTTTTATAAATAAGTTCTGGTCAACATTTGCAAATTCATCTCCAACCTGAATAGAGTGAACAGTTGCTCATTCATGGATGGATACTCATTCCATGATTCAGAGGAATTTTCTGCAAAATAGAAGGACTCTAGATGACTTTCAGGCAGTGTTATGATCTTGACCTCTCTCATTTGACTAAAATGACACTTTCAATGACAGCTGCACCTTAAAATTGTGTGCAAGTAAGTTCATGGAGCCTGTCTCAAAGCAGCAACTCTGGACTCTAATCCCTAAGGTTTCTGCATGTCTTCATCATAGGCTTCATTTTCACTGAGAAGAAGCCATATATAAGCGTTTTCATCACTCATTTCCAAAGCACAGTGTGTTATATAACATTGTTGTTCAGAAATATTCACTTCTTTGCCCACCTGTATCATGAGCAGCCCTTGACTTTGGGCTTGGCCATATGATTTGCTTTGGACAATGAAATATCATGGACCTGACTAATCCAAGACTTGAAAGTATTTGTATGGTTGGACTCCCTCTCTTGTTCTCTGCCATTACCGTAAGAAGAACATTTTAGGCTAGACTGCTGGCTCCAAGAAGAGGAAGAGAGGCTCATGGATTAGAGCAGAACCACCTAAGCCAGGCCCAATTTAGACCAACCAACCTCCAGCCTAACCAAATGTGCATTATTAAATGGTGTGACAGTTACACAGCATTGTTGTAGCAAAAGTTAACCTATGTGCATAAGTCAAGAGGTAGGCATATTGAGGTCTTATGCAAGTGCCTAGGGTGAGAGAGAAAATCAAACTTAATTCAATCAAAATAGTCTGTCCCTTGATTGAGCTTAAGTTTTGTTTTAACTGATGAACATACGGTCGGCTTGACCAAATTAACCTTGCAGTGTAAGTCTTTAAAATCATAAAATATTTGATTACGATGGGCATTAGAGGTCATATTACAAATAAAGAGCTAGAGACTCTGTAAGATTGACTTTCCAAGGTTACATAATTAGAAGTGATAGGGTCAAAATGATGACCCAGCTCTCTGATTTCCAGTCCAGAGTGTGATCAGTCTCCATTATATCATGATATTTAACTGCTTTGGTATCTCCTTTTACTATATACAAGAGCTGTTTTGTGTGCACTTAAGTAAATTTTGATTTTTTTAAATGCCCAGGTAGTATATTCCAAAAATTGTTGACAGAAAACAAAGAAAAGCAGAAATAATTGGCCCCTGGGGTGGGATGGCCAGGAAAGTATGCAAAAAAAAAAAACCCAAAAACTAGGAAATGAAAAGAGAAAAGAAACTAATCAAGATCAGAAGCTGGAAAGAAAGTTTAAAGAAACTAACCAAGGCCAGAGATAGTGGAAAGAACATTGTCTCAGAGACTCTAAGCAAGGGGAGAGGTTTTCGAAGGCAAGGCAGCCCCCTTGGCACCCTGATTTAGGAGAATGGCTTTGACTTGAACTTGAAGGTTGAATCTGCAAAAACACAGAAACTTTGTTCTTTGTGGGATGACGGACATAGCCTGAGTTTTTGACAACAGCAGTCATGGCTATGTCAACCAGCTGAAGCTTGAGTGTCCAGCGGAGACAGCTGAAATGGTGAGTGAAAGTTACCCTCTTGAGAGAAAAAGACATTAACTGGCAGAAATGAGCTGAAGTTCCAGCCAGAAACACATGGTGAAATGGTGGGAACAGAACATTTTATTTCTCAGCTCTGGCAAAGGGTTTTTTTTTTCCTGGATTCTGTGATTACTAGCAAGGCTGCAGGCTCCAGCCAGGAAGATGTAACCAGAGAGCAAGCAAATATGAACTTAGGCAAGGTCAGGACCAAGGAACACTTTTGAAATTACTCTTAAACCCTGTCTAGTGCTTCTGTGATGGGTCTAGACATTAGCTGGGTGCAAATTAACAAAGGAATGAGAACAATAGAATCTAAACTTTTCTCCCCAACCGACATCTTTGTACCCTCCTAACCTCGGTTACATTCTTTATCTGGTTTGCTCACTCAGGTCCCTCATGTTAGCTCAAAGGCTCTGTGAGATTGTGATTATAAGGAAGGATGCTGAGGAAAACAAGGGGAAAGAGTAACAAACCCAAGATCACAACATAAAGAAGAGAACCTGGAGGGGGCCGCATCCAGCTGCCCTTGGTAAATGACAGGAATGTGCCTGCATTTGCCCTGAGTTCTGTCAGACGACTCCCCATTCACTGTCCAAAAAAGTCATACCTCCAAACTAAACTGATCACAGTGTCAAAGCCATTCAGCTATTGCTAGAAGATACTCAGAGGTGCTGGGAAGGCAGGGTGGAGTGGACAGAAAAACAGTTACATGAATTGTGAAGAGAAATTTGATGGTGGACCTGAGAACGACCTAGAGAGTTAACATTTCTTAGACATGTGAAACTGTACTGATTATACCATAATGGCGGATTCGTGCCATTATACATTTGTCAAAACCCATGAAAGGTACATCAAGGGTGAAACTTAATGTAAAGTTTGGACTTCGGGTAATAATAATATGTCTGTGTAGGTTCCTTGATTGTAACAAACATACTGCTCTGGCACAGGATGTTGATAGTGAGGGAGACTGTGGGGCTGGGCAGGGGGAATATGGGAATTCTGTATTTTCCACTCAATTTTGCTGTGAACCTAAAAGTTATCTTAAAAAATAAAATCTATTTTAAAAAAATGTTAACCTCTCTATTCTGCATTTTGTCTTGTGAAGACATAAATACACGATAATGCTGAATGGGAAGAGAAGTGGGGATTTGAGAATTTTATCTGTGGTAGAACCATTTTTGTACCACTGGTTTGGGATCAGCATAATTCCACTCTCATAAGTAATTGGGTTACATTGGATTTTTCTTGTACATAAAGCTGTTGCCCTCATTCAAATGGACATGCTTTAATGCCTAATAGATCTGAACCTGACATAATTATAAATAGGAATTTATTTTAATTTCTGCTGCTAGTTAATGGAGAAGTGTGACAAACACTGCTCCTGAGCACCTCTTTTTTTTGGAGGCAGGGGCTGCATTTGGTCTTTGTTGCAGCGCGTGGGCTTTCTCCAGTTGCGGCAGCAGGGGCTACTCTTCATTGCTGTGCGTGGGCTTCTGATTGCCGTGGCTTCTCTTGTTGCGGAGCACCGGCTCTAGGCGCACGGGCTCCAGTAGTTGTGGTGCACAGGCTTAGTTGCTCTGCGGCATGTGGGATCTTCCCAGACCAGGGATCGAACCCGTGTCTCCTGTACTGGCAGGCAGATTCTTAACCACTGCACCACCAGGGAAGTCCCCTGAGTACCTCTTTTGAATGGCCAGTTTAGGGTCTGTAGAGTTCACACTCAAGAAACTGATGTAAAAAAGTTCTTAGAACCACTTCATGCCTTCAGTGAGTATAAGAGTTTAATGGGAGAAACAGATTCTAAACAAATAAATACAGTACAGAGTGATACGTCTGAAAATAAAACTATGTACAAAGAAGTGAAAAGAATAAAGAAGAGGGTATCATTTCGGGGACAGAGTGTGAGAAATATTTTTAAAAGGCTTCAGAGAGAGGGTGTCAATAGAGCAAAGGCACTTCAGTAGAGACCTTGACATCTAAGACATAGTGATGGAACTTGAAACCTTACCTAAGGATTATACCAGGAATGCAAGGAGGGCTTACTAATAGAAAGATCTCTTAAATTAATTACCATATAAATAGAGTTTAGGAGGAAAGGTATAGGATTAATCTCCATAAATTCTTCAAAAGCCATTGGCAAAATTCAACACCCATTTCTAATAAAAACTCTTGAGAAAATGGGATATTTCCCTATATACATGTGTGTGCATATCTATATCTATTTATATGTAGCTATATCTATATTTATGTACATATATACACTATTGTTATAGTGTATAGATATTATAACTATATAGTTATATATATACACACATATACAATAGAATATATACATAAAGACATGTGCCATAGTATATATTATACTATAATTATATACATACAATGGCAATTACTACAACTATAACTATACATATATATATATATACATATATATATATATATATATATATATTTATATATTTATATATCCAGATGTAATGAAAGGGAAGATGGATAAATCTGACTACTTAAAAATAAA